GCAGTTAAGGAAAACCATCTCACTCACAAACACAGCTGCCAGCCTTGCAACATGCTCCACCAGCCCATCTGCAACCTGAAGTGACTGCAAAGGTATGTAAACTCAACCGCGGCACTGGGGTGGAGAGAATATAAACTCTCACCAGCAGTCTGTACATCGGCTACTTGTTGAAATGATAATAAGAGGATGTTAATTTCACCTGGCTTTTTGGACTTTTCACTGTGACTACTAGAACATATTTTAACTACATATGCGCACCACATCATATTATCTGTTGAACAAATATCTTCTCATTGTTCTTGGATGCACTCAAAAGATGAAAGAATACTTAAGCGGCGACCACAAAGGGAATGCCATTTCCCCAATCTGCTGATGTGTAGGGAGAACAACAATTCTTGGAATTCTGGGTGGGGATCTCAGCTGGCATTTACGGAAAACTTAAGACAGACAGACAGACAGACAGACACACACACACACACACACACACAGATCCTGCTCTGCCTAGAGTTGGTGTGTTGGCTGTTATCATTTCCCTGGAATGCCAGCTGTTCTATATTTGCCACCATTGACAAGATGACACCTTTGCCATCTTAGGACAACACAAAGTTATGATCTCAGTTCTCCATAAGTGAGAAGTGTGGTAGATTCTATGGGTTCCTCAGCTGCAGCTCATTTGAGACTAGGATCAGTGTCAACCAGCCTGGCCTCTTCTCTGCAGTTTCTGTATATGTGCTCAGATCGACAGTAGCATTGCTGGTAGGATTCCATTCCAGGCCCTGAGGGAGACGTCCATGTCTTTGCTGGCTGCATCCAGGGCCATGGTCAGCAACAGTGGGCATCTCTCCAGTCCTGGCACATGGAGCTTCTACCTCTGGGCTGCAAGGGCAAGTCACATCTTTCTCATGCTTGGAATCTCTGACTTCCTCTTCTCTCTTCCTCTTCTCCACCATCCGTGGAACATCCTTTGCTTTTACAGACTCGTGCAATTAGACTGGGCCTAATAACCTAAGATAACCTCCCTGTTTGAAGGTCAACATTGCATCTGTAAAGTCCGTTCCCAGCAGGACACAGATGAGTGCTTGAGTAACCACAGGGTGGGAATCTCGGAGGAGGATGTTCAGGATTCTGCCTACCACACTTCCTACATGGGAAACACATTTGTTGCACCGTGAGAAAGTTAAGACCAGTGAGGAAGCAGAGAAAGAAAAAAGGCGTTTGGTTCCAGGAAGGAATTTGGATCTTTTCCTTGCAGTGGGAACCTACTGGAGGACTTTTTCACAAGAAGGGATACAAACTAACACATTTTAAAATGGACCAGCTGGTGAGGGAGCTGAGCTTCTTCAGCAGTGTCTCTCTTTCCATCCAGCAGGGCCCTAGAGGGAAGGGGTGTGCTGACCAGAGTTGGCATGGCCTCCTCCTAGGCCAAGTGTGTCTACATGTCAGGAGGAGACACACAGAGGGGAGCTCTCTTCAGACACTATGGGAAGGGAGGTAAGCCTGTCAAAACAAGGTAGGAGAGGGCCAGGTACTTAGCTCAGTGGTTCCGCCACCTGCCTCACAAGTGCAAGATCCTGAGTTTGATCCCCAGTACCAAAAAAAAAAAAAAGAGGTAGGAGGGAACAACACAAAATAGGGCAGCAATGAGTATGCTGGAAGCGCTCACTGCTTTGTCAGTTACCATTCTTCTGAGTAATGTGGAAACCGGAATTTATCTATCACCCAATTTATGTCTCAGAAAGCCAGGCCACCATCACCTACTCCCCTAGCTAGAGACTCTGGTGCAGGACTGGTGCCCTGCAGATGCCAGTTGGTGGCATGACATGTGCTGTCCCCTGAGATGCCACCTGGGCCCTGTAAAGACTCTCAATACCTTATTTTCTTAAAAAAAAAAAGGGCAAGGGGCGGGGAGGCTGGTTTTCCAGGGAAGGCTGAATTGCCTATCTGCATACCTGGGACACAAAAGAGCAACTCTGACCCCAAAGTATGGGGCCCCCGGAGAGGAGGAGGGGTTCTTCTCTGGGACTGCAGCCCCCAGTCACACTTGGGGATGAGAACCAGGCTGACAGAAGTGAGGAGCGAGGCTCTGCTCTGGGCTCCCTGACTACACATACTATGCTCCCGTGTGCCAGGCCTGGCCATAGGAACCTGGGAGCTGCTGCCTGTTTCTGAGCAAAATGAATGGCTCAGAGACCCAGATCAACGGCCTGGAGGAGCCCCTCACCAGCAGGCTGTCCTGTGAGCTCCCTTGCTCAGCCACTACCGGTGGCTTAACTGCAGCATGCTGCCTGAGATGCACCTTAGATAGATGGACTTCACCTCTTTCCCCTTTGCTTAAACGATTTACACATTCTGAGGCACTTTACAGGGACTCCTTTCCAAAGCTCCCATGTTTCCCAGTTTCCCTAATGAGCCAAATCAGTATCACTGACCTTAGCGCTGTTATGCCCAGCACCTGGCTCTCTATAAGCACTTGTCAAACTGATTTAATTTCCGTAATTGCTAACAAAATAGCAAACCTGGCCTAGCACAACTCCCTCAAATTTTATTGCTAAAGAAACCGAAGTCCTAAGCAGGATGCAGAATCTGAGACCTTAACAGATCTGAAGAGGCTGTTCATGTTCATGGTCAGGATCACTGGGAGTTTTCTAATGCCCACTTTCACGGTCTTTCCATTATAAACTTGTTTTGTGTTGGTAAAAGTCACAAGGATAAGAGTAAAACATGGTGACTAATATTCAGTCATCTGTCCTTTGACAAAGAGGCAAAAACCATTCACTGCAGGAAAGATCGGCTCTTTTACAACTGGGGCTGGGGAAATTGGTTACACACATGCCGAAGATTGAATCTAGAGCCACATCTCTCACCCTGTACTAAAATAAAATCAAAATGGATCAAAGATCTAGATATCAAAACAGATACCATGTGTTGGAAGATAAACAAGATAAACTACAGATAGTCCTCAGTTAATGGTCTACCTGGTTAATGACTGGACTCACCACTCAAGAGTATTGTTTGACCTTAGGATCCGCAGCTCAGGCTTATGACGTAGAAGCGTGAGCAACATTGAGGCCTTCTGGTGGCTTCTACAGTACAGTGCTGTAATTTCTGCTTGTGCTGTACTGCAGATGAGTTACGCCAGTAAGTCATCAAGTTTCAATTCCCCTTGATCATTTCTTTGTTCTGAATATTTTAAGTACAGTGCTGCTATATATAATTCCTCATTTAGTTACCAATTCATTTAGCAACCTATCACAGAAATGTAACTCAGCTGAACGAGTAATGTCTGTATTGAAGACACGGGCATAGGTAAAGTTTTTTGTTTTGTTTTGGGTTTTTGGGTTTGTTTTTTTTTTTTAATGATAATGGGGATTGAACCTAGGGCCTTCACACTGAGCTACATCCCCAACCCTTTTATTTTTTATTTTGAGATAGGGTCTCATTAAGTCATTAAATTGGCCAGGCTGGTCTTAACAGTTGTGCTCCCCCTGCCGCTGCCTCCCAGAGGGCTGGAATTGCAGGTGTGTGCCACCATACACACCTGCACAGAAAGACTTTGTGAACAGAACTCCAACTGCACAAGATTGCAGTAACCACTAGTCAATGATGGCTAGAATTAACAAGACACCTATTTGGTCAGATCCGTGACATCTACTTGGTGTGATCTGTGCATGGTGACACTACGACTCAAGACACCCCATCAATGTGGACGGCAGATTTGACAAGTACTTTAGAATTGAGAAGAGTGAATTAAAATTTCAAAAGAATGAAGAAGACCATAGACGGGAATGCAAAGTTCCTCAAAATATAAACCAAAAGTATATGTAACAGGCATATTTGAAAAGACCTGACAACACAACAAAAAACTATACACACATTTCTCTAAAGAATATAGACACAAAATTTCTCATCAAAAAACTAGCACTTTGTTTCCTATACTATGTCAAAAAGAACATTCATCATTATTGAGTTAGGTTTATCAGAGATGTGAGAATGATTCAACAAGCACAAATCAGTAAATGTAATATATCACATCAACAAAATGAAAGTCAAAAATCATGTGCTTCTCTCAATAGATACAGAAAGTCATTCGATAAAATCATTCAGTATCCTTCATGTTGAAAACTCTGAACACATTAGGCCCAGAAGGAACGTGCTTCAATATGGTAAAGGATGTGTGGAAGCCTCACAGCCCACATCATAATAAATGGGAAAAGGCTGAAAGCTTTCCTCTAAGACCTGAAACAAGACGATGATGTCCACTCTCACCCCTCTTATTCAACACACCACTGTCCTGAAGGCCAGAAATCAAAAGCATACAAATAGGAAGGGAAGAAGTCCGATTTCCCATTTGCATAATGACATCATTTTATATGTACAAAAACCTGACCACTTGACAAAAAGACCATGGGAACTAACTTAAAATTCAGTAAAGTTGCAGGATACAAAATCAAGGTTAAGACAATCAGTAACAGGATAATGCTTGCCTACCATGTGTGAGGCCTTAGGGGTAAATCTCCAGTACTGCAAAAAACAAAAACAAAAAAACAAAACTATTAACATTTTTATACACCAATGAGACTGCTGAGAAAGATCATAAAAATAAATTCCACTCACAATGGCTACCAAAAACAAAACTCTTAGAAATAAACTTCCCCAGGGAAGTAAAAGACCTCTACAATAGAAAATTACAAAACTCTGATGAAAGAAACAAACAAAAAAGAAACATTTCCCACATTCATGGTTTGGATGAATTAATACTGTTAAATGTCCATACTTCCCAGAACTATTTACACACGCAATACAATCCCAATCAAAATACCAGTGACATTTCTTCACAGAACCAGAAAAAAAAATCATTTATTTAGTGTTTGGCTGCTAGGTTATATTTGATACTTAGAAACGATCTATTCTCTAATAAATATTTTTAATTTTTCTTATTTTCTTCACATTTGAAAATTCTGAGAAATAAAAATTATATAATAGAGTACCAAGTGATGTTTTCATACATGTATACATTATGTAGTTTAAATTAGGTTAAACATATCTATGTCACCTATCTCTTCAGTGAAAACATTCAACAGCCTTTCTTTTAGCTGTGTGGGAGTGCGTGGTGCTAGGGACTGACGTGTCGCCTTTGCACTGAGTGGATGTGACTTCACTGAAAGCAGGAATGTTTGTGGTTCACTGCTTCACTGTCGGCACCTAGAACACTGGCTGACATTCAACTTTTTTTAAATGAATGAATGAATGCACAAGAATGCTAACAAAAAAGAAAACTGCCTACTGCTCAGTCCCTATATAAACAGCCCCTCTGATTCACTGAAGATGGAAATTCTGAACAGGCACTGTTTTTCCAGGAGAAAACTTAAAACACTGGCCAAAAATTCAAAAATGTACATGTTCGTAATCCATGCATTTTACTCAAGAAATTCATATATATACATTTTTAAAAAGATCACTAAATGGCATTCAACGTATTTGTTTACAATAAACAAAAGACAGCCAAATGTCCTGCCCTAAATGCCCTCTAACAGAGGCCTCAGCGGATGACAGTACATCCCATACAGTGGACTACTAGGCAACCATCTAAAGGACGACTCGAATAGATGTCTATTAATGTGGAAAATGACAATGTACTTTAAAGAAAAGGAGCATGTGACAAAAGAGGATGCATAGAACATCATCCTTCTGATTAAAAAAAAACTTCTAACAGAATGTATACTGAAATGATGTGCCCCACAAATAACTAAGTGATTTTTATCATTTTTTATTTCTATTTTCTAAGTTTCTACAGTGAACATGTACTATTTATAAAACCAATGGCCCATTATAAAAACCTGAAGCCATTCATTTGCAGAGAGAGCCATATGACAGGTGGTGAAGTAATATCAAATTAGTAGTAAACATCACAGATCCTCTGAAAAAAATACAACATCCTTTACCTTTTGGTTCTGTGGTTGTGTCTCTGATACTAGATTACACCTTGCTAATTCTGAACGTCTTTATTAGTCTTGGTAAGAAAAGACAACCACAAAATAGGTTACAAACTAAGAGAAGAAAGTAAAAATTGGCACTTTCATTCTAGCTTTTGGTGAACTCTTCAATCTGTCTAAATATGAGTAAGCAAAACAGTTTGGAATGGAAACCACAACACCAGCCAGCATCAAGAGCTATGTGGCCTTCGGAGGAACTTTCTTCAAAAAAAAAGGTGACTAGAAATCAGATACATCTCATAAATAAACGTAATCTCCACATTAAAGTTTTGATTTGAGCTCACTATTCATCTTCAAAAGAAAAACTTCTTAGAAGCAAACAGTTCATCCTCATTCTGTTTAAGTAACTTATACGTATCAGCTAATAACTGGAAGGCAAATAAAACTAAACAGAGGCAAAGCCAGCCAGTTGTAAACTCTGAGCTGTTATTCTTATTTGATGTCTAGAATTTACAGTATGTTCCAAAGCAATGCAATTCCCACATCCCTGGCTTCCTACTAAAAATAAACCAGCCATGCTACAGAGACATCATCTTTTAATTTGCAGTGCCCCATTCACTTTCCACAACCAAATGTTTTGTTCCAGTCTTCATACAGCTCTAAGTCTTTTGAAGATACACTAGGCCGCACAGTTCTAAAAGCATTTTCAAAGTCCACGTAAGCTATGGGCCGGACTTGATCTGTAGTTATGGTGGCGATGTCAGCAGTCTGCAAACTGCGAATGGGGCCAAGAGACGCCTCTCTGCATAGCTGGGTCATGTCTGCCCCGGAGAAGCCATCAGACTGCTGGACAATCTGATGGAGCTCCTCCTCACTGAGGTCACACTGCTCCTGGGTCATCAGATTTGTCACTATCTGCTTCCTGGCTGAAGCTTCCGGGAGGGGAATGTACAGCCTCTTCACCAACCGTCTCCGGGCAGCCTCATCAATCTCTTGGGGCCGATTTGTCGCTCCCACCACTAGAATTCGGTCTTCAGAAGACGTGGTTGCACCATCTAACTGAACTAAAAACTCCGTTTTTATCCTTCTAGAGGATTCGTGTTCACCATCTCCTCGCTGAGACAAGAGGGAGTCAATTTCATCAATAAATATCACAGCTGGCTGTTGACACCTTGCAACAGCAAATAAAGCCCGGACCATCTTCTCCCCCTCTCCTACCCATTTAGAGGTCAAGGATGAAGCCGAGATGCTGAAGAACGTCGCCCCAGACTGGCTGGCAATGCACTTGCCAATAAGAGTCTTACCAGTCCCAGGGGGGCCGAAGAGCAGAACCCCTTTAGGGGGTCCCCGTAACCCAGTGAAGATGTCTGGCCTCATCATGGGCCACACAACTATTTCCTTTATTGTGGTTTTTGCAAATTCTACTCCTGCAATATCTTCCCAGTGTACTGGAGGCCCATGGTCCATAATCTCATTCATAATAAGTTCGATCATCTTGGGTTCCAAGTTCTTCAGCCGCTCATCAATAGGATGGGCTGGTTCTGCTGGTGCGGCCCCGTAGGGTTTGTACTGCATCCCTCCATTCTGCTCTGCCCCTTCTTGTTTAGGTAAGGGAGGAACAAACTTCCCAAATATCCCTCGAGATCTGCCAGCTCCCAGAGACTTTTTCACACCCCCATATGAGGGCCCTGGTGCACGCTGGGGTTGGTGACCCTTTTTTTGCTGGTCGACCCATAACTGTTCTTTTGCAGTTTTAAAAGTAGGCAGACTGCTCTCCTCCCTTGGGCCATTATCTTCTGTTTTACTACAAGCCTTATTCAGTACTGGATTGGAAAGAGCATCAATGGTGGCACAGCTATAGAAAGCTTTCCTTGCCCGCGGGTTTTCACAGCCAGAAGGAAAAGGAGACTGGTTAGACAAGAACATCTGTACTCCTGTGTTGGCTTTAGGAGAGCCATGAGTTTCTTTTGTGACATTTCCAAATAACGGTGTGCTGTGTACTTTGGCTGTGGCTGACTCACCTAAATGCCTGGAGGACGTGGGACAAGTCTCAGTGCTGTTAGGCACCATTGGTGGCTGGACACTCTGAGGGACCCTCCAAGGGCTGCTGCCTGGGATGTCATGGGGCCTATCTCTGTGAGGAACTGAGCTGGACAGCAGGTCACCATCTCCCTCACCTCTGCAAACTCCACAGTCAGGAAGATTGAAGGCAGGGGCCTCCTGCCGGATCACTACTGATGCACTGGAAGGTTCTAGAAGAGAGTCTCTGAACTTTTTGCCAGCCTGCATCATCTTCTGTACATTACTCATTTGGAAAACATTATTTATTGACAACCCAGACTGCCACCCCCTACTATCGGTTTGTTGAGAACTGGTCAAAGCTAAAATGTTTTCTGCATAGTTATTCAAGCCGGTTTCCATGTTGTCAGAATCAACGATTGCAGAGTATTTCTCCGCATACCTTTTGAACAGTTTGGCAGCACAGACCTGGGAGATCTCGGTGTTCGCCCAGGCATACTGAACACGTAGTATCTGCGCACGGTACGCATCTGCCTTCTGCCCCGGTGTACACGTGCCAATCGTGATTGCAAAGTAATTTTTCTGCCACTCACTCAGGTGCACAGACCGAGAGCTGGAGGTCTGCATGTTAGCGATTCTACAACAGAGGACAGAATGAAAGACAAATGAATAGCAGGAAGGAAATAGACATAATGGTTTCAACAAAGTTGAAAAGTATCTGGTAAGGAAAATATACTGGAGTTTTGATTTATAAGATTTAGTTATAATGACAGATATTTATGAGAAATATCAAATAAATCAGACTTCAAGTACTCAAGATATAAAGATATTTTAATTCAATATTTACTGATAATTTTTAAAATACAAAGCTTTGCAATCTATGACTAGACACCACCTTTAACAAAATTTTCAGCAAGAACAGTGTAACTACTGGTACACAAAATAAACTAGGAGTTTACCTCTGGTCTCTATGAAAAATCAGATGAATGATCCTAAGAAAGACGTTTTATTCTGGGCCTGCAGTTTTCTTATCTGTCAAGTGAAGCAGCAGCATTATGAGAATCAAGTCAGGTAATGAATATGAAAATAACCTAAACACTACTAATGTTCCCAATGTAGAAATGCAGAAACAGGCTGAGTTAAGGAACTTACCGAAAATCGCACAACCAACTATGAATGGAGTCGGAAGTCAAACACACAGTTTCATCCCAAGTGCTACGCATGAATCCAGTGTTCCTTGACTCTCCTGCCAGAGGTCATGGATTAAGCTACATGGAACATAAGTATGATTATATTTAATGTTTTTAGTATCTTATAAATAAGCACCTGAGATAGTAAGTTACAGAATCTCATAATTTCCCAATTTCACATAAAGTGAACATGCAATTGTTATCACATGAAATAGCAAAAGCCAAATAGCCAGTAGTAACATGCTATTACTTTAGGTTTCTCTCTCAAGTTATTTTCATATGCCAATTCATATGTTTTAACAATCATGAAATTATCATGCTGTTGTAAGTGTAAGAATCTGCCTTATGTATTCACAAGAAAAATTTATAAGAAAACACCTTAGTTTCCTAAGTGTATTGCAATAAAGTAAAAAGAACTTGCGTATTTTCTTTCAAATTACATAGAATAATCAAAGCATTTTCATACATGTGCTGTGTTTAATAAAGCTCTGTATATCCAACAATGCCTTGCAGGGAATTTGTAACATCATAGAAAGGTCTTCATAAATCTGTAAATAAAAAAAAGCTTAACATCCAGGAAGACTGTAATTTGTTTAAAGCTATAAAGCTAAACAGAGTCAAGACGTGGATAAGCAGTTCATCCTGCTTCCCACTATACCACTTAAAGTCTTAACGTTCTTTATAGAACATTGGAACTGAAGGCTTGGAAATATTTATGAAAACTCTCACAATTACTATAGCCAACTTCTTCGCAGTTTCTTTGCAGTATATCATCTGCATTTCTGGGATTTCTCTAACAGCTCAGAGATATAATCACTGTTCCCAGGAGCTCTCCATTCTCCCTTCCATTGTCACCGGTTTCAATACTCATCTCCTTTTCAATTCCCTTATCCAACAGCTATGGATATAGACAGCCAAAAACATGCCCTCACTGCTCAGTGACACATCTTCTGTCCTGTGTACCATTTCCAAGTCGACTTAACCTTCATGAGCTAAAAATTACAGTTAATAAGCACCGATATAAAACATTTCCATCTTTATTTTCATAATTTTCTGATCATTTTAATAGTATGTCTGGCCTCCTAACTGGATAACTGAAAGCCAAAACTGTTTTCTATTACATTTACATTCACTCAGTGCCTAGACTATGGTCTCCGTTCAAATGGTAGCTATTAAAAAACAAAACTAACAGGGCTCCTACCATACACCAGAAAGCACTGCCCACAGGCAAACAGCACAGGAATTTACAGCACAGGGTCTGAGGTAGGGCTGCCTGTTTTCAGATTCCAGTTCTACTACCTGCCAGCAGTGACTCTGGACAGATCTCTCAGTCGGGTCTGTTTGCACCTATAAGAGTGCGGTAAGATTGCTTAGTGAAAAGGGTCTCAAGTCTGAAAAGCACTCAAAACAGTTCTCCCGCAGGAAATACTCTATGTCCTTTACAACTCCTCACAATGAGCCCTCGGAGGAGACAGTATCAGCGCTTCCTTCTCATCACAGAAACTCACAGCTTGCCTCGGACCACGGGAACTGTGTACCAAGCACCTCGCAACCCGGACGGACCTAGCAACGGGCTGAGCACCCCTAGTCTCAAGGGCTTGGGAAGGGCCGCGTAGATCTATCTGCATGCATTCGCTCGGGACGGGGCTCAGGTCTACGCGTGCGATTCCTACGTCACAGACCACAGCTTTCCAGGTTCATGTTACGCCACATTTTTTATAACTCTGCACAGGAAAGGAAGTTTCCCGGCGTGGACATTCGCACCGAAACGCCGCATCCGGTGCTCAGCGGTTTTCGTACCAGGATGCACCGGCCGCATTCGGAGTGCGCGGCGCGGGAGAGGCAGGGGTGCCCCTGGGCAGGAGATAAAGGGGCGCTCCAACTA